CCCCCCCCCCCCGACCCCAGGGGGCAGAGGGGGGATCATGCCCTGCCCATTGTTCTGGGTGCCCCCTGCCTTTCCAGCCCAGTCCCCGAGAGACCGTGGGTACAGAAGCAGCAGGCCGGAGGGTCCCTGATACTGCCTTGAACACTGCCTTTATTCACCAGTGACCTCAGGGGCTCTGGGGACCAGAGGTCCTCATTATGCAGCACAAGCCCCAGCCCCCCACGTGTCCGCACATGGGCTGGGGAGAAGCAGGTACTGTTTTTTCAGTCAAAGTACCCCCACATCCATCCCCAACGTGATGGTTTGAGGCCCATGTGGCTACACCGGAGTTGCAGGCTCATTTATGAATGCTCAGGTTTGCAACCAGTGGAGGTGGGAGTCAGATCCTGGAGGAGCAGAGAAACCCCAAGAGAAATCACTTTAAAATGGAAGAGATTCTCTGCCTAACCTGAAAGCCTGCCCCTTGCCCCTGGGAATCTACAGCTCCTCTAAGCACTAACCCTGCTTAGTGACTTGTTTTTCTTACAGTCAGAAGTGACCAGTCTAAGCCATTTTCATTGAAGTACATTGCATTATAGCTATTTATACGTGAGGGTGACTGGGAAATGAGCAGGATTGAGCTTGATTATCTGCTTTTAAAATCCGAATAATTGTGATAATACCAAGCTCTTAAAAACAGAATACCTACCTCTTACCTAATGCTTTTCAACTTGATCTCAGAGCACTTCTGCAGCAGAAATGCAATGTAATGATCTGGACAGTGTTTGCTTTGGCTACAGGGCAGGGAGTTATGTTAACTTTCTCCTTCCAGTACCTGCTGTCACACAATTCCAGCCACAGTTGCAATTCCACTTGATCTGGGATGTGCAAGAGGCAGATTGCCTTCACTGTTGTGCTGCTTTCACTGAAAAGGGTGTTGCTTCTCTTTCCCTTTTGTAGGATGATCCCTAGAGACGCATAGGAGTTGTCGCTGCCAGGCAATGGCGGTCTTCGATACCCCGCAGGAGGCCTTTGGGGTCTTGCGGCCGGTCTGCGTGCAGCTCACGAAGGTGCAGACTGTTGAGAACGTGGAGCGCTTGCAAGCCCAGCTGCAGAAAGTCAATGCCGCGGCCCTCCAGGAACTGCAGGAGTATGTCCTTTTCCCTTTGAGGTTCACCCTGAAGACCCCAGGGCGCAAACGGGAGAGGCTTGTCCAGAGCGTGGTGGAGTGCATCAGGTCCATCCTTTCTGTGACATGCGTGAAGAAGCAGGACCTCTTGCACGAGCTCTTCTCCGAGCTCTGCACATGCCTCTCTTCCCCTTCTGGCTTGAGGCAACCACCCCCTCAGTCGGAGGAAGTGAAACTGGCTGTGATCCAAGCACTCCAAGCGCTGATGCATTCGGCTTATGGGGACATCCTCCTGTCTCTGTACCAGCCTTCCACTCTTCCTCACTTAGGATTTGCTGTGTCTTTGCTTCTGGCCCTGGCAGAACAGGAGAAGGCAAAGGAAATTAGGACCTCGGCTTTGAAGTGCCTCCAAGCCCTCCTTCTGCATTGCGACTGCCAGGAATATCACAGACTCTTAGACAAGGAGGAAGCGCAGCAGTGTGGGGATTTGTTTGCTTCTTTTCTACCCGGGATCTCCATCACGCTGTCCCGAGTGATCACTGGAGACATCAAACAAGGTCATATGATCACGGTTTCTGCCATCAAGCTGTTTTATCAGACCGTGGGCTTCATCATGGCTGATGAGCAGCTCAGGAGAATTCCAGAGAAAAAAGAGAGAGCGCAAGTGGAGCAAAGCAGAATAGCAGACCTCATGGTCCATAGAGGACCTGACTGGGTACAAAGTACTGCTGATAAACTGTCTCTGCTTATCCACAAGATAGTTGAGTCTTCTTCCGTTCACCAGCACTGGAAGGTGAGGCTGGAGTTGGTGGAGTTGGCCCATCACCTTATGCTGAAGAGCAGTCAGTCACTGGTGGCATCAGTCGGGCAACTTTTGAAAGCCTTGGTGGGGCTTGTTAATGATAACAGCCCCAAGGTCCAAAGCAGGAGCAGTGAGGTCCTGCGGAGCATCGCGGAGCGGAAGGTGATCACGGAGAACAGGGCTCTGGCTGACGTTCTGTCCGAGAATCTGCATTCCCTGGCCACGGCTCTTCCACGGCTGATGACTTCCCAGGATGACCATGGCAAGCTCTCCACCTTGAATGTACTGCTTGGCTCCCTGAAGCTGCTAGGGTCCAAGATGAACATCGTCCTCAATTCCACAGCCCACCTCCACCGCCTCTCCAAAGCACTGATGCAGGTTCTGGAGCTGGATGTGACTGACGTGAAGATCGTGGAAGAACGGCGCCAGGGCGAGCTCCCTGCCTCCTTGCAGCATGGTTTGCAGAAGAGCCAAGCCCAGAAGAAGTATTTCCGGTTCTTCACTGATGAGCGGATCTTTCTGCTGCTCCAGCAGGTGTGCCGGGTTCTTGGCTACTATGGGAACCTCTATTTGCTGGTGGATCACTTCACAGGGCTGTACAGTGAGTCCGTTGCATTTCGGAAGCAGGCTGCTCTGGTCCTCAATGAGCTGATCACAGGAGCTGCTGGACTGGGGGTGGATGTCCTTCATGAAAGGGAAGCTGCTCCCAGCATGGATGACCTCAAAGGGACTATAATGTCCATCCTTGAAGAATACACAGACCAGGCAAACTGGCATTTGGTCACCAGCGTGGAGGAGCAGGAAGAAGCTAACGACAAGTTGGCAATACCCCCTTCCAGACTACGAGCCCTGACAGAGGGTGCACACAGCAGCAGTCACGTCCTGTCCTCTGCTGCAGCCTCGGATCCAAACCCGACCATCCGCTCCATGAACAGCAACATTTGGCAGCTCTGCATCCAACTGGAAGGGGTTGGCTGTTTCACGCATGCCCTGGGGAAGGAGTTTCGGGTGCTGCTCATGTCAGCCCTCTACCCCGTGCTCGAGAAGGCTGGGGACAGCACTCTGCTCATTAGCCAGACAGCAACGGGGACCATGGTGGACATCTGCCAGGCATGTGGCTACGGCTCCGTGCAGCAGCTCATCAGCGAGAACACGGACTACCTGGTGAATGGGATCTCCCTCAGTCTGCGTCGTGTGGCACATCAGCCTCACGCTTCCCGGGTCCTGGAGACCATGCTCAGGCACTCGGATGCCAGCTTGCTCCCGTTGGTCGAGGACGTGATTCAAGATGTTCTGTTCACACTTGATCAGTCCTATGACTGCCAGGCTGCCTCATTCCTCAGGGTCCTGCACTCATTAATGGCAGCGTTAGGTATTTTCCAATCATTTCTCTTCAGCCCTTTGCTGACTGGTGCAGCCCAGCAACAGTCCCAGGGTGGAGGGCTGTCACTGGGTGGAGGTGGGCCAAGGAGGGAAATACAGTTATTCAGGGGTCAGGAGGGGAAATAGGAAACTTCTCCAGGTGTTGCTCAGGCAGAAAAAGAGAGAGCACTAAACCATCCATTTCTGCCAGTGAAAGTTTTGGTTAAACCCCTCAGATTTGCAGCATTTCAGAATGAGCAAGGGAACAGATAGGGATGGGAAAGGAGGTCTGGGAGAAGGAGGAGAGATAGGTAACTGCCAGCTGGAGTTTTGCCATCCACTAATGGCAGGAGACTGGAGAAGATGGACCTCTAGCCTGGCTGTTTCCATGTGCTCTCTCCCTCCTTACCCATCTGCAGGGTCCTGCACTTGTCAGACATCCCTCCCATCCCACCTGGCCTGTTTGAGGTCACAGCTATACTGAACTGTAGCTGCCAAGAGCAGTCTTCCCTGTGTCCCAGGCTGGGGCAGACGCTTCTCAGCATCTGTTGTAGCCCGCACCATCCCTGGCATGTCCCTGGCTTGCTGTCCATCATGGATGGGCTTAGGAAAAAGTTCTGTCCTGTCTGCATGATCCCCCAAATCTTTTCAGCCCTAGTGGAGGGCTTGGGGGACCCTCAAATTGTCAACAAGATGACAGCTCTTCCCCCAAAACCCAATGCCTGTTTTTGGAAGAGGAGAAGGGATGGGGGATGCCTGAATGCTCCACTGAAGGCCTAGGTACTTTGACTGAGGCTCTGACCAGCCCTGGCTAAGGACACACCAGCCGTAGTAGTCAGTGCCTGGTTCTGGGCCTTGCCCCCAGCAGAGAGCTTTGTTGGATGCTCTCTAGGTCATCTCCCTACAGGCAGAATGGGAAGGTTCTTCTCCCCATGGTGCTGGCACATGCCATTCCCAGGGAGACACCTCTGTCTCTCTTGTAGCCCGGTGGTTCGTGTTGGCCAAGCAAAGCGAGCAGCAACAGGGAGCCCAGATGTCTCCTGGCACAACACAGCTTCCAGGGGCCATTCCCACAGCCACC